GCAGCAGACCTCTCCTGACCTGTACGCTACTCCCCTCAGCAGTGTATTTCAGTAGATCTGCCTGTTCTGCTCCCCATTGACTCTGGTGAAACCTCTCACCCCTGCATAGGAAATAACCAACTGAAGAATTTTCCCCAAGAATATGAACCACTAATGATGAGGAAAATACACATATACAGGGAACATTCCAGAAGAAACGACAAGTCTCTCCTGGCTGATATTGGCACAGTAAACCCTGAGGTCCATTAATTTTTTTTTTTAAGATTTATTTATTTGTGCATAGAGAACTGGGGTAAAAGCCGGAGGTGCAGAGGCAGTGAGAGGACTCACCAGAGACAGAGTGGGGAGCAGAATAGGAAGATCGACAAAGTACGCTGCTGAGGGAAGCAGCAGACAAGTCAGAAGAGGTCTGCTGTGCCATGTGGCTCACCTCTGGGGCTGGGGATCGAACTCATGCTGAAGCAGCCATGGCTAACTTGCAGTGCTGCATCCTAACCCGTAGTGCCACTAGGGAGGGCCAGTCCATATCATTCTTAGTTGTGGGGCATCCTGTGTATTGTTGCCTATTTATCTGCAACTTTGGGCTCTACCCACCGGATGCTACCCACATTTGCTGACATGCTCCAGACATTGCCAAATGTCTTCTAGGGATGAAATCACCTCCCTCTGAGATCTGCTGAGTTAAAATGAGACTTGAAATGCCACATGTACCAGTAACACAAGAGTTGACTCCAATGTTCTACAGAGGTTAAAAAACTCACATTATCCAGACTGTTGAATACATAATGCAGGAGAAAAGCAAGTACAGTAGCGGCCACTGAACATGCAGTGTGCAGCCCTGCCAACCCTGCAACACCCCCTGGGCCAATTTACCCAGTGAAATAAAAACTCCAGGAAGAGATCTGCTGTGTACTGCTCTTCACTGCCCAGTTTGGCATTGCCATCAAACGTTACAACTAACAGTGCTAAAAGGATGGGTACACATCTGTGCTGATTAGAACTCCACAATACTTTATTCAATTGAAAAGGAAAGTTGCTGGAAAACAGATACAATCTCATCCCATGTTTATGAAATAAAACTTGTTTGGATAGGAGAGGAAAAGCAATCACAGCACAGCTGATAGAACATGATCCTCTTGTGAAAAACATGTAGCCATTTGTACCAGGTAAGTGGGAACAGGTGGGTAAGGCTGGAAGGTGTTCCACCAAAATACTGTGTGCTACCTGTAAGAAGTGTGATTTAATTTTGCCTTTTTCACTCACTTGGCTGTCTGTCCCAATTTTTCTACAAGGATCTGTATTATTTTATAAAGAGCTCCAGAAATGCCTACACACCCTAAGAGCTCAGTGATCACGGCAAGCCTTAAGTATTTGACACAGAAGGTCTAGGCTCTCATCTTCCTTGCCCCTGGGGTGGGAATCTTCAGGGCAGACTCAGACTCAGGTTGCCTTGAGGCTCCCTTAGAGTCAACTGTTTATTGATCCCCTGCAGGGTTCTTTCCCTCCTTGACTAATATCTCACCAACACTTCCTGGGGTCACTTCCTGAATTCTCATTCCTCAAACCCTCACCTTGAGGATTGTTTCCTGGGCTTTCAAGCCTCCCTCCTTATTCTGTTATGAGACGGCAGAGGTGAGGAGTGTAGGTAACATGTTGGCAATGAACTGGAACAAGAAGAAAACACTGACTTACATGAAAACCAACTAGAAGCATTTAATTTAAAAAAAAAAGGCAAGTTATCCAGCACCTGAACTGGAGAGCAATTATTCCTAAGACTGAAGCACCGCTGGCCAGCTCTGACATTTGCTCCCAGCTGAAGCCAGCCTGCGCTGAGGCTGAGGCGCACAAGGCCCCCAAATACATGATCCCACCAAAGGCTTAGATAGAGGAACCCCATCAAGCAGGCAGAGACCACACCTGAGATGCAGGGCAGGGAGGTCAAGCAAACAGGACCAGGGGTAGGCACAGGAGACCCAGCCCCCAGCTTTGTCCCTTGCCCCCTCCGGGGGGGCGGGGTCCCAGGGGACCTATATGTAGCCACGTGGTCACTGGGACTCATGGCTGTCCCTGGTAAGGGAAGAGCCACCCTCCCTCCTGGGCAGGGGGATGGGGAGGGTATTGTCTGCAACAGGGAAGTAAGGAAGAACTAACTCAACCGTTCTCCAACCCTACTAAAAGTCCACGAGGTCTGGCACACAGTAGGTGTTCAATGCCTGCTGTATGGTGAAAGGACACGTGTTATTCATCTCTGTATCCCAGCTCACACGTCAGTGATCAAGACTGCTGACTTGTCGTGCTGTTTTGTATCTATTATCTGGCACATAGGAGGTGTTCTTCAGATGTGAGGAAGAAATTGATTAAAAAGTGAAAAGCACCTGTTTATCCCCAGCATCTATTCATTTCCCAGCACACAGTAGGCACTTAATAAATGTACTAAATCAAGAACTTATTTTTTTGTCACAAGTACCGGGCACGTAACAGGTGCTCAAGATGTATTAGAATGAAAATGTTTTGTTTATCTTAAATTCCTGGAGCCTAGACTGTAGCCCAACACACAGTAGGCACTCCAAAAATACTTAAATGAATTAAAATAATGTGTATAACTACTGACTGATTCTTGATGGGAGCATCAATAAATGCTTCATGACTGAGAGAATAATTATGCCTCATTTATATCTGTAACACAAGAATCTGGTGTAGACCAAATGCTAAACGTGCTGGGCACATGAAAAGATGAGTCATAGCTAGGTGGCACCCAACCTCCCAGTGCCAAGCCCTGGCATACAGCAGGTACCGCATTAACGAATGTGTGCATGTAACTGCTGAATAAGAGACGGTAGGACACTGCCTTGCATGGCAAGCCCCATGCAGCCTCTTGGAGGTGTGCAAGGGGGCTCTACGGTCCCCGGCAAGCATGTGGAGGCTGAGCCGTGATGGCTGCTTTGGTGTTTGGCCACTGCCACTCAGAGCTCATCACGGGCAGCACTATCCAGCGGACTCTGCAGCACATCTGAGTTCTTGGCCTCCCGGCTCAACGCCTGCTGCTCGCGCATCTTCTGGGATTTGGCACGGTCCCAGTCGGTCTTTACATGTTCATTGTTCCACACGACTGAGGTTTCTGTGTCGCTCACATACCCGTCATCCCCTGTGTAGTGTGTGGGATAGACAAGCAGGGGCTCCACAGAGAAGGCAAGCAGGTTACGGGGAGAGAAGTGGGTCTTGTACTCAGATCTGTGGGGAGAGAAGAGAAGGCAGCAGTGGGTTAAGGGAAGGGACAGTAGAGGGAGATGAGGGTAAGGAAAAGACACCTCCCTGGATTTGCAATCCTCATGTCCCCTGCCACCCCCTACCTTGGAAATTTACAGACCACAGCCTGCCTCCCCTCTGCAACCGCCTCTTACACTGGGTGCTTGTCGAACATGACTGGCAGGAACTCGTCCACAGGTAGCATCTTGGAGAGTGGCCGGGCTGCCAGCAGTTTGCGGGCACCTTGTAGAGAGATCACGTATGCCAGCGTCCAGTATGAGTAATCAGCCTCTACCAGATTCCTTACGCGGGGTACAGCCTTCTCGGGGTGTTCCACCTGCATCCGCTTCCGGCCTACATAGCTGGGATACAAGATTGGGTCCCTGTCACCCTCCTCATGTCAGCCAGAGAACACTAACCCAGCAAGTCAGTGATCCCGTGAGCATATGTCAGGCCCCTAGGATGGCATCAGGCTTGACATGCTTGGGAAGGAAAGAAAAAGCTAAACTAGCTGGACCAGGCCAGGTCTGGGGTCTCAGGGAGGATAGTGGATTTTTGTCCTAGGGCACTAGGAAGTCATGGAAAGTTTACAGTGGGGGAGGCTGGAGTGATTAGACATCCTCTGATTCAGAAGTCATGAGTCTGTTGGGCAAATGTATGGTCGAGGAGAGCAGGTACTGTTCATAATAATACCCAGAGTTTGGGGCCCAGACACCAGAGCAGGATATTGCATTGAAAGGGGAGAAAGACAAAGGATATAAAGATGGAAGGGTGGGGAGAGAAGTGAAGGGAAGAAGAAACAACCAACCTACATGAGATTCCAAAGGACTATTCCAGAAATACGCTGGCCACGCCCCTGCCTCGTGCTGGCCTAAGACCCAGGCTCCCAGCTATCACACAACACTCAGCTGTGTCCCTGCCTCTGGTCATACTCCAAGCTCCTCAGCCATAGCCACATCAGATCTCAGCCACATCTCATCTGTATAGGCCCCAGTCAATCCCAACCCCTGTGTGACTCAAGGCTTTCAGCCAAGTCTTCCAGGTCACCCTCCTAAGGCCCGATCCTATGAGAAGCTAACCTTAATCCATGCCCCCAAGTCCTACCTATTTTTAGGTCCAGGAACCACAGGGCCCTCTCACGGGCCATGAGTCCTCCTGCTTCCTCCAAGAGCTGGCCCAGCCAGTGCCCTTGATCTAAAGGCTCTAGCCCCTCCTCGGGCCCCTCTACTCACATGAGGTCCCAGTCCAGAGACTCCCTCTCCACATCCCGCATGAGGTTCATCAGGCGCCTCTTGAAGAAGATCTCAAAGCGCAGGTCATCCTCAAACACTAGTGATTTCTGCAGCCCCTGGTCCACCACCTGAGGAAGGACACCCCACTCAGTCGCCAGGAGACCAAGGTGCAGCTGACTTGGAAGACAGTTCTGCTTAAAGGCTCTAAGACACCAGAAGTAGCAAGTGCACCCCTTCCCCCGCCAGATCCGGAAGCGCTTCCTGGTGGCCGCCACCTCCCCCTTGTACACCTGCATAGGCCTGACTGCTTCTTTCACACTGCGGCTTCCTGTGGCCGGCAGGCTTCCCCTCGCCCTTCAGCTCAGCTTCGATGTCACCCACCCTTCCAAACTGTGCTTCAAAGTCACCAGTTGAGGACAACTAACAACCCTGGGCCCTCCTAGAGATGCATCTCACTTATTTCTTCGTGGTTTACTGTTAGGCTCCCCATCTCCTGGGGCTGTGAGTTCTCTGTGGGGGGCCAGCTCTGTCTTGGTCATTGTTAAATCACTAGCAAAAGCACCAATGGGTGCACGGAAGATGCTTGGCAAATCTCCCCTGTACGAATAAACTTGAGAATCTTCGTGACAGCCCACTGAGGTCACATCTGTCATCTAGGGAAGCTGAAGTTCAGACTGGGCAGAGCCTTCCTTGCTCACAGAGCTCACCCTTCTGGGAGGCTGGGCTGGATCTGAAGTCGGATTTTCTCTGTGTCCAGGGCTGCCTGGACACCACAGCCTCTGGCCCAGCCCATCCATGCTGAATCTTAGAAAAGGAGGGCAAGCTGGCGAGCGTCTACTGCCCCCAACTTGGAGCGCCGCCCAGGAACCCCCTCCCTCCATCCAGACGCCTGTCTGCCTCACACTTGTGGCCTGGAGCTTAAATCCTGACCAGGAGGCCTCACCCATGACAGTCTCTCCACCCACGCCCCTAGGCTAATGCGGCACCCCCAGCATGGGGTCCCCCAATGGTCAATGTCACCGTGGCTGTTACTTCTATTAGCAAAAACAGGTCACACAGTCCAGGCTCCATCAATACCTGACAGTGGTTAAGCACGGAGAGAACTTGCCTGAGGCTCCAGGGCCCAGGCCCCCCTGTCCAGAAGCTGGTGCCCCGCCTCTGTCTCCAATCCCAGTTTTCACATCCACACAGTTAAGGACTGTAGCTGCCCCACCCAACACGCAGCAGACAGCTTAGGGGTGTCACTCCCCGAAGGAGGACAGTGTGTGTGGAGACTGTTTGCCTCCCCAAACCATCTGCCTGGGACCCACCTCCTTCCAGATGTTGTAGTGGCTGAGGAAGCAGCCCAGCTCTCCCTTGGTGAGGGGCCGACCATGGTAGGGGTCCCGGTAACCTGGCAGCATCTGAATACCCAGCGCCTCCACCTGGCTGGTGTTCATGGCCCTGGAAGAGATAAAGGAGGGGTTCCCTGGAAGAGCTGTTCTGTGGGGGCATCCACCACTAGTGCCCCCCAACTCCACTCTCCCCCATCTCCTGCTGTCCGCATCCCACAGGCCCTGGGAGGTGGCCGCGGCCGACAGCCAGGATGCGGTGAACTCGCAGATCTGCCAGACGGCCCGCCAGGGTCAGAGAGCTCTATCCACAGCCCCCACCGTGACTGTGCAGGCCTCTGACCGAGCACACGCACTCCCTGACCGTGGCTGGCACCGGCGACCATCTGTCCCCACTTTCGCACTCACTTGCCATCCACGGCCTCCACCAGCCGGCACTCGATCTCCTGCGCCTGCAGAGCCCGAAGCATGCGCTCCCGCCGGTCCAGCCTCCGCTTCAGGTTGATCATGAAGACCTGGGCCCACAGCCTCCATGGGACCCTCCGTTGGTCCCTCCATCACACCCTCCAACCCCCACCCACCCCCCAGGGAAGGTCCACCCACCTCGTCAAAGCCCATCTTGTCCGGTGTAGCTGTGGGTGTGGAGAGGAACCGGGAGGGCTCCACAGGAGGGTGCTTCACTGCAGGGCAGAGAGGAGAAGCTGCTGGTATCATGGGGGCTTCCCCACCTCTGTGGTTTCTATCACCCCAGCTCCCTGTCTCTCTGTTTAGCTGCAGTTCAGACACCAGGGCTGTCCACTCCACTGGGTTCCCACTGCTCCACACAGCTCAGTAGTTACCCGCAGAATAAACAAAGGAGAGAGCCAAGTGACCCTGATCCATCTGGGCAGTGGCTTTCCTTCTCTGCACGCTGGGCTTGATATACCTCTCAGAACAGATGTTCTCAAGTCGCAAACACTGTTACGGGGTGACTCGTGACCCAAAACAGTCCTAACCCTTGGTAGGGGATGTGGCTTCATTTAGAAATATGGTGCATAAACATACAGAGGGTAAAACCAGTTCATTAGTGCAGGCCCTATTTAATGACTGGGATCCTTATAAAAGTGGGAGATTTGGACTTAAGAAACACCCACAAGTGTAGCTGGTGAGAAGACACAGGGAAGGACGGCTGAATGACTGGAGGGACACAGCCAGAGCCGGCGTGTGCCAAGACTCAGAGTGGGGGCCACTGTTCCCACCTGCTGTTCTGAGTGACACTCAGACTACAGCCCCAGGCTCCGGGATATCTTAGCAGTTTCTTCTAGAACGATGGAGTCCACACTGGACATGAGCCCATGCAGCTCCTGCCCACCCACAGGCCAACCCAGAAAAACTCCACACACTGAGGAAGGAGCCACTCACCTTGGCAAGAAGTAAGGCCCCACATGAGCTTAGGGGACACAGGTCCCTCTGTCTGGGCAAGGCCAGGGCCCAAAACCATCTCAGCAGCCTCCCACTTCCCAGACTGAGTTGCCCAGAGACACTATGTCCCAGGGTCCCTCTGCCAACTCTGCACAGAGTTCTGCCCAGCTCTGGCCATCCCCACTGCCCTCCTGAGAGTAGCCTAAGACCCTAGAGCAGGCTTTTGGATACCAGGACCCACGTTTAAATCCTAGGTGTCCTGCCCAAAGAGAAGTCTGGCCTTTGCCCCAGTTCCTGGGAGGCAGATATCTGTGGAACACCATGCAGCAAGGCGAGGGAGTGGCCCCTGGTGGCTGGGGGTGCAGACCCTGGAGCTGCATGAAAATGCCACACCTGAGTGGAAAGGGCAAAGCCTGTCAGTGGGTGGGATAGGGGCAGGGGCCCAGGGCAGGTGTCCTGCAGGCCAGCATACAAAATAAGCCTCACAGTGCAATCAGTAAAGGTGACTTATACCAAGCCAGGTCACAGGACCAACCGGGAAAGAGCCCATCACCCGTGAGCACGTGGACAAAGAAGCAAGCTGTAGGATTTCCAGTCCCACAGGCTGAATTTCATCATTAGGAAGATTTCTAAAACATGAAAAATCACACGGACAGTCTAGGTCTAAGTTCACACACAGGTAGACAAAAAATGCAGTTCTCATGCAGACCAAGGCAGAGTGTACAAATATAGTCATGCGTCACTTAGCAACAGGGACTTATGCTGAGAAAGGTGTTGTTAGGTGACTGTCTTGGTGAGAACATCACAGTAAAATCACACAAACCTGTATGGGTATAGCTGTAAGAGGACAGGAAGCAATTCCACTTTAAGCCACCAAGGGGAGCTCCCCACAGAGAACCTTCCAGAAACAGATTAGCTGGGAAACAGCCTGAGGGCCTGGTCCCTGCATCCCCTACCTATCTGTGTAGCAGGTGGGTTTCCAGGGGATGTGAGTGGTCTGCAGGAGAGGACCATTCACTCTGCCTGGCTGCTCTGAAAACCCTCCTCAAACAGCCCTGCTGTGGCTCGGCCACCACTGTGAAATCATCCTGGCTACCGGCCCACCAGAAGGATGACTGTTAGCTGAGTAACAAAATTATTTGAATGTGTATTAGAAAAACATGAGTTTGCAATGATGGCAAAACGTGTCCTATTTTAAATAAATGAGTTCAAATGGGGGGAAAAGTATCTATTTAATATAAATATTAAATAAACAGTGGGCCTGGGGCTTGGCAGGGGCACAGATGAAGAAAAGGTCTGAAAGGGCCATATCCTAGACATGCACGTGATGACTCATCAGTGAAAAGCCGCTGCCCCCTGGCCTAGGAAAAGGCAGGCACTCAGTCCAGTCTAAGGCCCCTGCCTGCTAGCCATGCGCCGCTTACCAGCCCCACTTCTGTCCAGCCAACCTTGCCCGGTCCCTAAGCTCATGTTTCCTCCAGATTTTCTAGCTTCTGAAAAAGCCCCCTCCTATTGTAATCCTCTTTCTGGCTAATTCTACCAACCCAGCACCTTAACACACCTCCCCAGGAAGCTGACCCTAACTGCTCCAGCACACTGTGCACAGCTGCCTGCAAGCCAGGGCTCTGTGAGCACAGGACAACCATCCTCTGTGCTCATATCAGGTCCTCAGAGCCCAGCAAAGGAACCGGCACACAGCGGACACTCACTGTTCCCGGGATGAAGACCTGATGGCAGAGAAAGGAAGGCAACTGGGCCCTCCAGGGCGGGCGCAGGTGGACTCACCCATGACCTCCAGCTGCACATGCATGAAGCTCTCGGCCTCGTCCTGGAGGGTGCTGTGGGCACGCAGTGGCACAGGCAGGAAGCCGTACACCTCCTTGTTGCACACGTACATCTGGATCTCTAGGCAGTGCAATGACAGTGGACACTGAAAGGGCGCAGTGGGTAGCAATAGCCCCCTCCCACCAGCAGCGTCAACCTCACAGCCCCACTGGGGCCAGAGCCTACAAAGGCCGACAGTTCCAGGCACAGCAAGACCCTCGGCACTACACGAGGAGCTGGAGCCAGAAAGGGGTTCACCCCCCGCCGGCAGGTGTAGGTTATATACACCCTGGAGGCTCCCAGGGTACAGAGATGAGGAATCAGAAATAACCCAAAGGACCCCAGGCAAGGTGATGGGAAAGTCCGGAACTATTAACATGTGTTGGTCCCTGCAGGTGTCTGTGGCAAAGCAAACCACAAGACGGAGCGAATAGTAACGATGCACGTTTGTGAGCAAATATGAGATGCAATTGGACAAAACATGAGTAACAACACATCCTTCTGCACTAACTTTTTCTGGATAGTTTAAATTTGTATCACGAGCGCCTATCCTTTTTAAAGTGAAAAACTCCTTGATGTCCTTTTCATTTTAATTGGGTAACTTCTGTAAAGTGCCAGATGGCAAATATTTTAGGTTTGTGGGCCAGATGGTTCTTCTCATAGACTCAGTTCTGCCGTGGCAGAAGTATTCAACATTTAAATGAAAAGAGGTGGCTTTGAGCCAATGAAACTTCATTTACAGGCACTGAAATTTGAATGTCACATAATTTTCAGGTATTACAAAATCTTTTTGTTTTTTCCAACTACCTTAATATGTAAGGATTTCTTAGCTGCTGGCACTGCAAAAAAAGATGGTGGGCTGACTCTGGCAATAGTTTACCAGCCCTCACAGGTCCACATTTGGCTGTGTTCACTTTTTCTTTAAAACGCTATTCTAGGCCCTCCCTGGTGGCTCAACAGGTTAAAGCACAGCACTACAAAGCTAGCCTCAGCCACTTCATGAGTTTGATCCCCAGCCAGGGAAGTGATCACATGGTACAGCAGACCTCTGCTGACCTGCTCACTGCTCCCCTCAGCTGTGTACTTCATCGATCTGCCTGTTCTGTGCTTCACTCTGTCTCTAGTGAATTCCCTCACCCCCTCTGCACCTCTGGCCTGTACCCTAGTTCTGTATGTGTAAATAAATAAATCTTTAAAAAAATTAATACATAAAATGCTATTCCACTAATTATGCAATTAATACATGCTCAACTCCAGAAAAGTGGGAAAATGCCGACAGACGCATAACCTGCAATAAATAGGCTTTTTCAAAGACCTTGGGAGAAAATAAAAAAGGGGCCTTAGGAGTGTAGTAAACTACCAAAGCCAGGGTAGACATCTGAGCACCTGGATCCACCTATACCTGAAGCCATCCCAGCACCTTGAAGTTCTGGCTCTGTGACCCTTGACTCCTGTGGGCTTACTTGTACTTGTTCAGCAAATGCCTCCCATCACCCCCAGCAAGGCTTCCAATTCATTCCCATAAGCAGGCTCACCTGCCTGCTTGCAGGAAAAGGCAAAAACAATGATGTCATCAAAGGACCAGGTGTAGTCAGGGTGGGGAGGGTAGAATGCCAAGTTCCGGGATGCTGACTTCCGCAGGTCAATTAAAAAGGTTGAGTGCACCATGGGGACCGCGAAGCAGCCTCGGCGATCCCTCTTGCGGATGGGGATGTAGGCAGGCGTGCGCTTGTAGTAGCCCTGCAGAGGGAAGGTAGAGTTCTCCCTGGGGGTCCCTAGTGTGACGTGAGGTCTGGCGCCACTGCAGATACGGTGCACCAGGACAGCAGACCCAGCACCAGTTCTGGCTGTGTGGGCATCCCTGAGCTCTGGGCATCCCGCTGCTCTGCAAGCCCCAGCCTGAGCCCCTTAAAAAGGGGCCATAATGTGCAATCCTTTGATTTATTCTTTGATTGAACTTTAGAAGCATGACTTCTGGGCACTCCCTAGAGGTACAGAGGGTTAAAGCAAGCTGCAGACACTTCAGTGTGAGTTCGATCCTCTACCCAGCAGTGACCACATGGCGCGGCAGACCTCTCCTGTCTCGCCCGCTGCTCCCCTCAGCAGACTGCATCATTGATCAGCCTTTTCTGCTCCCCACTTTGTCTCTAGTGAATCCTCTCACCGCCTCTGCACCTCTGGCCTATACCCCAGTTCTGTATGCATAAATAAATAAATCTTTAAAAAAAGAAGAAGAAGAAGAAGCATGACTTCAAGGAAGTATGGGGGAAATCTAGAAATTTTAAAAGCTTCTGAAATAACTAGAGTTGACTTCTCTCTTCCCCATCTGTACAAACTGGAATTACTAGCATATGAGAACTAAATTCTTATCACATATTTTTCAAAATAACAAGCAGTGAATTATTCACTTTCAAATGGCAAGTTTTACCCTAAAGAATGGAAAAACAGTTCATGCCATGAAAGCAGAACTGTGTGCTTCATCAAATCAAGTATGAAGAATAATATTTGGCATTGATCTTATCCCTGTACATGCTCAGGATAGTGGCTCTTACAATCATGCTGAATATGTATTCTCATTAATGAGCGTTCAGTGCAGAAAAGGATGAAATGATTTGGAATATGACAGAAGCTGTATTAGATTGTAACTGGGACAGATGTAAATGTAAGAAACAAATTATAATCAAATTCTACAAAGATAGGAACTATTAACTATAAAAACTATAGTTATCAGAGAACTATAAAGAGGTATGTAATTTAGATATCTACAGTTTATCTGAGATAAATACAAATAATTTTTTAGCGTAAGCATGTTAAATATTTTCTTTGATCATAGCATACACAGACATAGGTAATTAGAAACAATTCAAATTTAACTGGGTGTCCTGTGGGATCTTTTTGTCAATTTTTTTTGAACTTTTTCTTTTTTTTAAGATTTATTTATTTGTACATACAGAACTGGGGTACAGGCCAGAGGCTCAGGGGCGGTGAGACAGAGACAGAGTGGGGAGCAGAACAGGCAGATCGACAAAGTACACTGCTGAGGGGAGCAGCGGGCGGGTCAGGAGAGGTCTGCCCCGCCATGTGGTCACCTCCGGAGCAGGGGGGGATCGAACTCATGTGGAAGTGGCTTTAGCTTCTCAGTGCAGTGCTTTAACCCGCTGAGCCACCAGGGAGGGCAGTTTGTCAATTTTTTTAATTGTGGAAAGAACATTTACCATGAGGTTGCCCCTCTTAATAAAACTTTAATTATATAATACATGCTTTTTTTAAGTGGTGCACTTTACGTTATATTAATACCACCCAAAAAATGGTAGGCAGCAAGCTGGGATGGCACAGGTCACCCAGCCTGTTGCCCCTGGCAGGGCCCCATCTCCCCTTACTCGTAACCCCAGCTTTGTGCATAATCTCTGCCTCCACCCTGGGATGGGACTGGCCATTGGGGCTGGCATTTTCCTATCTTTAGTACTAGGTACAAGGGAAAGAAAACTGGATCACAGCCCATCAGAAGGGATTTTGAGTGGATGTTGCTGGGATCAAGTCCCAGAAATGATCTCAAAATGAAGCCAACCAAGGGCCAGGGGAAGACAAGAACACGGTCTGGACACCTAGATCAAGCTGTGCCTGACATCCTGTGCTGGTACCACCACTTCACTGAGCTTAGGCAAGTCATCCCCTCTCTCTGTATTTCTACTCCCTCCCCCTCAGTTATAGGAAGGGGGGCCAAGGGGCAAACACAATCATGAAACCCTTAACTCTACACATGGCCCCCAAGTACTCCACCAATGCCCCACCACACCCAAGGCCCCTGCCTGACCTGTGAGGTCATCCCACACCAGAAGTTGGAGTATGCAGCCCGGGAGTCCAACATGGGGGCCACCACGGTTTTGTTCTCAGCCATGAGCAGGGTCAGCGTGTCGGGGTTGAGGATCAGGTTGTCCGCATCCATGAACTGCAAAACATATGACAGGACACCCGTGTGGGCCACCAGAGCAACCAAGGTTGAGCCACAGGTCAGATCTACCAGGGCAAAGGCCTGGCACTTGGGGGTCTAGGCACGGGACTAGCGCCTCAGTCAACAGCTCAGTCCTTAACAACGAGCCAAGTCCACACAGCAAAATGTGCCCGGTAGCAAGAGAAGAGACCACGCAGAACACAACAGGCCCCACAGATACAACAGCAACACACATGGCTCCATCTTGGGAACTTTAGAACTGTCAGCGGGGACAGTCAGGGGCAGAGGTCACCTGCATGCGGGAATCTGGGAAGGACACACATCTTTCTATGTGACTTAAATACCAATAAAAAAATTAAAAAACAGAATATTTGTATGAGCTTATTTTTCCCTTAACACCTTGGATGTTGGGGTTAAAAAAAAAAAATTCATTTGTTACCACAAAAGGAAAAGTCTGGAAGGAAATATGGTATCAACTCATAACCAGGGTCACCTTGGAAGGGGCAGGAGTGCTGCTGTCCTCCCCAATCCACGTCACCACCACCTTCCAGACAGGCAGGCCTACCTGGAGGTTCACTGCATTGTTGTGGATATTTTTTGTCAATTGTTTTTAATTGTGGAAAGAACATTCACTAGGAGTTCTTTCCTCTTAATACAGAAAAGTTTATTTTTTTTTAAATATTTATTTATTTATGCATACAGAACTGGGGTACAAGCCAGAGGTGCAGGGGCAGTGAGAGGATTCACCAGAGACAGAGTGGGGAGCAGAACAGGCAGATGGACAAAGAATCCTGCTGAGGGGAGCAGTGGGCGAGTCAGGAGAGGTCTGCCACGCCATGTGGGTCACTTCTGGGGCCTGGGATCGAACTCACACTGAAGCAGCTGTGGCCAGCTTGCATTGCTGCATTCTAACCCACTGCGCCACCAGGGAGGGCCCAATATACAGTTTTTTAATGGGACATTTTATAATATGTGAGTTGCCATCAAAAAAGATAGTAGAGAGGCCCTCCCTGGTGGCGCAATGGATTAAAGCCCAGCACTAGGAAGCTCTCCACAGCCACTGTGGCCAGAGTTCGACCCCAGCCAGGGAGGTGACACCTCTGTCACACCTCTGTCTTACCCGCTGCTCCCCTCAGCAGTGCATTTCAGTGGATCTGCCTGTTCAGCTCCCCACTCTGCCTCTGGTGAATCCTCTCACCACCCACGCCTCCGGCCTACACCCCAGTTCTGTAAGCATAAATAAATAATGTATTTATTAATTAAATTCACTTAAAAAGAAGTGAGGCTCCGGGCAGCCAGGTTAGTCCAGACTCTCCTAGGAAGCCCTGCGCGCTGGCCCCTAAGCGCGGGCACCGCCCCTCCCACACCTGACATGCCTCTGACATGGCCGCTCAGCGACCCCTCTGGCCCTGTCTAGGCGTCCCTCAAAGAGCTGTTTGCTCCTGGTTTTATGGTCAGCACCTCTAAGGCTATCACTCTGGCCCCGCCTCCGAGACATCCAGGACACCTCAGCCCCCCACAACACCCCCCTGCCCCGGGCGCTGCTGCCCTGGGCGCTGACTGGCCAGGCGCCCCTGGGCGCTGACTGGCCAGGCTCCCCGAGCTGCTGTCGCAGCCTTCGGACTGCGCTGCTGACTGCTGTGGCGCCTCCTCAGGCGAGACCTTCGCAAAGACCTTTGCGAGCTTTGCATCTGGCCTTTGCTCCGACAGCAGCCTGACAACCGCTAGACCTCTGGCGCTGCCTCTACCTTTCCTTTCTCTCGTCTTCGCTCTCTTTCCCCTTGTAAGCAGACCGTGTTGTTGCTGAGGCCTGAGCGGGAGCCTTGTCCTGCCATCAAGGCTGTAAGCACGCTGAGGGCCCGCCACCGCGGCATTCGGCCCCGGGCTGTGCTGTGCAGGGTGTCACCAGGGCGCTGCTGCCCACCAGGAAGTGGAAACACAAGTCGTGTATGTGGCGCAAGCTAGTAGGAGGTGGGTGCTTTATCTTAATGAATCGGGTCCCACACTGGATGTCTGCAATGTTTACACCGCTTGTCTCACAATGGCAGGAAGTGGAATTCCAGGCTGCCCTAGCATCACGGAAAGGCATTCCTGAGTAGAAGCCTCAGCTGGAGACAGGGGGTGGCAATCCCTGGGGACAAACCACGTGGCGGTGTGGTGTTCCCCACCCAGCCTCTGCAAGCATTTGGGTAGGACTTTGACTATATATATATATATATACAGTAAAACAGCCAGAACAATCTGGAGGGCCTCAAAAGTTAAACATGGAGCCATCGCATGACCCCGCAATTCTATTCCTCAGCATACAACGAGAGAGCTGGACGTGGACACTCAGATGAGCATCCGCACACCTGTGTTCACAGCCCACAAGCCACAGCAGCCTGACGGGGAGGACAACCTGAGTGTCCACCGCTGTAGGAGGAACTCAATGGCCCACCTATGGGGGGGGCACTCAGCCATGAAAAGGAAGCAAGCCCTGACACACGCTCCAAGGTGAATGAACTGAAAACATGGGTTGACTGAGCGGCCACACAGGGTGAGGTCATTTATACGGAAAACCCCGAGTAAGCAGGCCCGTAGTTTGGAAGTCCATCGGTGGTTATAGGGCTGTCCGTGACTGCTCAGGGCAGGGGGTCTCCTTTTGGGATGATGGGATACTCTGGAATTAGATAGAGGCAGTGGGTGCACATCAAAATGAATGTGCTTAACACCCCTGAATTGTTCACTTTAAACCTTAATTTTCTGTTTTGTGAAATTGTCCCAATTAAAAACTCAAAAAAAAAAAAATAGCCACAATGTAAGTCTCTCTGGGAGGTAAGGCGACAAGTTTGTGTTTTTTTTCCTTTCTTAATTAAGCCTCTCATTGTTTCTTGTCTATTTTCTTACAAATAACACCCACAATGTTTGTGAAAAGAGAGGTCTTTTTAATATTAAAACGGTTAAGACAAACGAGTTCACATTCTAATGTAGGTTTCCAAAGGCCCCACTTACAAAAATATATGGCTGTGTCAAAAGCTTCTTTGAGTTTTAAATGGACACCTTGAGTTCCACCCAGCTTTGCAGAGGGAAAGGTGGTGAAAACCTGCCAACCTCAAGCCAGGGAAGCAGACAAGGTCGGCCTGTGCTCAGTGCAGGGAGCCCCCCCCCACCCCTTTAAGCTTCCTCTGGCCCATCTGAAAAATGGTCTTGGAAGGCACAATTCACAGGGCTCCCAGCAGAGCTGGCTCCATCCTTCCCCTTCCCAGGAGACAGAGCCACCCTCCCCCCAGGATGTGGGGTCTTCTGGGAACACTCATGTCCACTCCCCCAGCAAGGCCTGTTACCTCTGCCTCAGAAAGTATCCTGACCCTGCCTGCCTTCTCTACCCTGGCTTCCTGCTGTCCCTACTCCTGATGTGACAACTCTGCTCCCCACAAGGAGCACTAGCTCATGGTTCTGGAACTCACCAATCAGAACAGCCCTCCCCTGCTCAGACACCCTCCATGGCTGCCCATTGCCCTCCAAGTAAAAGCCGAATGATCCTCAGTATCATCCTCTCTATCTCTCCAGCCACACTGGCATCCATCCCTGGACACACCAAGCTTGCCCCCAGACCTTGTCCCCTCAGCCTCAGACACTGTCCCCCAGCCCTACCAAAGCTGCCTCTTTTGTTCCTTCCAGTCTTGACTTGGCTCCCCTCCTAAGGGGCACCCCCACTCCTGCGTGCTTTTCACCCCCACCCTGGTTATGCCATCTGTCACCATGGTTAAATGGTGTCCTCCCCAAATTATGTTCATGTCCTAAGACCTGGAATCTGACTGTGACCCCATCTAGAAATAGGACTTCTATAGATATAATTAAAAACTACGTGAAGGTGGGTTCACGCAGGAGTCAGTTGGGCCTTCTAATAAGAGGGGACACAGAGAGAAGCCCATGTGACCAAAGAGACAGAGACTGGGGTAATGTGGCCACAACACATGAACACGTGGAGCTCCCAGAAGCTGGAAGTGGCAGGATGTCTCCCCCCGAGACATCCAGAGGGAACAAGGCCCTGGACACTTGGACTTCTGACTACAGCCTCCAGAACTGAGGCAGGCACGTCTGTCTTGAGCCCTCACGTGACCTGTGTCCTGATGGCCCAGGACACCGGGCAGCACCCACTGCTTCTCTGCAGCGGCTGTGCGGCACCAGCTGCCTCTGGCTCCCAGCTCCCAGTGACACCTGCTCTTCCTGGGTCACTAGGGAGGCAGCTCGGCCTGTGTGGATTCTCACTGTATCCCCAGGGCCGAGCATGAGCGGCCTGTAGGCATACGCTGACTGGTACACAAAGCAGGGACAGGCTCCAGTCCAGAGCCCAGCGTGTAGACAGAAACCCGCCATAGGTCCGGGCTGCTTGACTGCGTCCATCCGCTATGGAGGGCAAGGCTCAGCACCCTCTTCCCCCATCGGCACCAGGGGACAGGAGGAGGAGGGGCAGGAGGAGGAGCGGGAGGGGCCTGCGGCAGGCCTGGGACCTGTGGCACTTGTCCAAACATGACTGTAGCCAACACACTCAACTGTCCTCTTCCTCACAGAGGCCATGGTCATCCAGGAGGAGGAAGTGAAAATGGGGCCTCAGCCTTTCAGTGTCCCCAAGACTGCCGACCCTACTCCTGTGACTACCAGGGAACACTACTGTGAGCTGTGAAGATTTGGTGTCACTGTGACTGCGGCCAAGGTGGAGAGAACCCAAATGCCCAGGAGTCCATCTGGTCGTCATAATTAAGGGCCCAGGCACCACCATCAACCGCCAGCACCTCCACTCACCTGCTGTCACCTAGTCTAGTAACTAGGCTCCCCCGAGTCTCAGTTTCCCTCTCTGGGAAACAGGGTTAAGGCAACTCTACACACACCCTGACCGCCCACTGCGACCCACTGGCCTGCTCACCAGGATGTAATCAGCCCACATGTCCCGGGCCGCCTTCAGGGCCGCCTGGCGCAGCTTCATGACATGCTCGTAGCGTGAGTCAGACCAGTGTTTGGGGCCCTCCTCATCTGGGTAGGACCTGTGGAGAGGCAGCGGTGCACCGAGGCCTGGGGTACTGGGGGGGTACTGGGGCAGCCCAGGTGCGGCCAAAGGAGGCTTCCTGGAGGGGTGGGAAGGCTGCGCCCGAAGGCTAAGAAGCTAGAGGAGAAAACAGAAGCAGGGAGTGTGTCCTGAACAGGGACCCAGAGGAAGGGGCCTCTCACGCCAGGAAGGTCACTCCTGGGGGTGCGAGGAGCCCGGGGAGAACACACAGAGCAGAGGAAACCTGGAGTCTGTCCTCCCAGACATGGAGTCTGGGAATGCAACAGTGAGTGCCTCCCAGAAAGATAAGAGGTGAGGGACTTCTAGGCGGAGAGACTGGCAGGGCAAAGGTCTGGTGAGTGGTGGGGTTACGGCCTCCTGGTGGAGCTGAGGGCTGGGTCAGAGCAGCCAGGGCCAGACATGCTGGAGTCCCACCCCAGAGCAGTGGAGAGCCAGAGATGTGTGGCTAGGGTACAGCCAAGTCTGACTTGAGGGGTCTAGGAAGAGCCTGGCGCTCACCTGGGCTCCTCTGCTGGCCGCCACTCCACAGAGTGGTATAAGCTCTTCACGGCCACCAACCACTCCCGCAGCACGGCGGACGTGTTGTCTGCATTGTGGTCAGTGGCCACCCTGTGGACAGAGAGCGACAGTCAGCAAGTTGGGGAGACTGAGGCAGGACAGGGCATCAGAGGAGCCACCTGGGATCTGCACCCCAGCTGGGCTCCCCATCAGCTCCACAGCCCTGAGCAGACAGTTCCCCTCTCAGTGCCTCAGTTTCCTCATCTTCAGGAGCAAAGACAGAACCCACTTCCTCGAGCTGCAGAGGGTTTAAATAAACTAATTTTGGAAAGACATGTTAAGGAGCTCTGAACACTGTCGAGCATCTAAACTCCCATAACCGCTGTGTACCAGACATCTACAATTCGGTAAAAGGCACTTGCCAGCCACCTTCCTGGATCTTTGAGCTACACTGTCTCAGAATGGGCTTTGGTTTATTTCACTCAACAAATGTTTCTTATGCATGGTACAGCTTAAACTGTCCAGGCTGGGGAGAGTCTGGGGTGGAGCGAAAGGGACCTTTGGGAAAGTCCATAGATCTACACTCCCAAATGAATGGTCACTGAGTCAGCAAGGAGAGCAGCCGCGACAGCATGACAATCACAGCTCTGGACACTGAGCACCAGCCCAAGCCAGGTTACGGGCTTGACACCCGTTAACTGGCATCTTCACAGACAAACCCAGCCAGGCTTAGAGCGCTATCCCGTTTTTCAGATGAGGAAGCTGAGGCAGGAGACCAGAAGTCACCAGACTCCATGGTTCTGCCCCACTCTGCTTCCCAGGAGTCACTCCCGCCTGGGCCATGGCCACCATCTGATTCCAAACCCCCTCCACGCACGCACGCACGCGGGTGTGATTCAGGCTGGGGTCAGGGGCCCAAGCAGCAGCAGCAGCAGCAAAACTCAGTCAGTGGACATGCAGTGCAGCTGTACTCCCAGGGGAACGCTTCTTGGAGTTAGATGTGCTCTGAAGGTGGGAGAGAGGGTTAGTGTCCCGGGGAGTCACCGGCCCTGAGCGACACTCACGTCCCAGACCCGCCAGAACAGGGTGGAGGGGGTTGGGGGTGAGGGAGCAGCGCGGACGGCAGTGACCCGACCCACCCTAAAGGGGGCAGCAGGCAGCGCTGGGGCCCTGTCGATCCTAATGAGGTGGTGGGTGAGGGCGGGTGGAGAGCAAGAAGAGGCTCGCGTGGGTTTGGACCACCCAGTGGGGACAGCAGGCAGAAGCACATGTGGGTCCATCCCGATGGGCACCGCAGGGAGGGGACACGCGTGTGGTCTGGCCCGCCCGACGGGGACAGCAGGCAGGGCGCGGCGAGGGCCGCGGGACCGGGCGGGAGGCCGGACGCGGGCCGGCGGCGCTCACCATAGCGCGGTGCGCTCCCGTGGGTGGCGAATCCGCTCCAGCGCACCCAGGGTAGCAGGCAGCGCGTGGGCCGCGTTCCGCGCCAGCAGCGCAATGAGCACTCGCGGAGCCTGCAGCGGCGACTCCGGGCTCCAGCGCTCCTCCGGGAAGTAGGCGGCGGCGCCCGGCGGGCCCCCAGGAGGTGGCAGTGCCAGCAGCAGCAGCAACAGCAGCGCGGGGAGCGGCCGCCCGCGCCGCCGGAACACGCGTGGGACCACCGCCATCGCGCCACGCGTCGCCTTTAAGCCGCTTTTCTGACGGCGGATGCGGACCGCGCCTTAAAGGAGCTCCGAAGACCACACCCCTCCGGCGCTTCTTAAAGGGGAGGAGAGCGCTTGATGCCAATCAGCCATCAAGGTCCGCCCTCAGGCCACGCCCCTCAGTGGCCTTAAAGTCGCAACGTCGCAGACACTCCGTGATGTCATTCTGCCCGGACGCCCCTCACCCCTCCAACCCCCTCACCCCTGCTCCCGCCTTAAAGGTCCAGAGCTCTCCGAACTTTTCAATCCCAAGCAGTTCAGAATCTGCCATTTTCGTGGCACCAGCCCAGCTCTCGCCCAGACCCCAATCGGATGCACCGTACAACTTACATTACTGTAAGACCCAGGCTGTGCCACGGATAGCCCTGATAGGAGCTGGTTTGGGACCCAAAGATCTGCGCCTCAATTTTTTTTTTTCAGGGCGGTTGCGGCTGTAACCTTGATTTTGGTATCCTGGTTCCTGACCTCACTGTGTTGTCCCTGAGAGATTGTTGGGCACTGAACACAGGAGCCCTGTCGTCCCCAGACCAGGTTCACATGCAAACCCCTTCATTGGCTTGCTGTGTAAAAGCCTCAGCTTGTCCTTCTGTAAAGTGGAGTCATACTGATCCTACCGCTTAGGACTGGCGTGAGATGGACACATTGGGGCTTGAAACTGCTCCAGAGACAGGACAGGTGTTTCCATAAAAATGCAACCAGGGATTGTTTTTATGCCACTCCTTAAAAAATCAGGTTTTAAGAATGATGCTTAGATGCATATTTATTAAAGGTGTGGTCAATGCACTATTAAGCCTGTAAAAATGTGACTTCCACTTTTAATGGCGAAGAGCTATCAAAGAGAAATAGCATTACTGTATCAGGTGCCAGGTCAGGATGCTCCAAGATGTGCCAAAGAGCATATTCGTTATTTTGAATAGAGAAATAGCTGGTGAATTAATGACACTCTAGAGAAAATAATAATAATGAACAACTATATACCAGAGACATTTTACAGGGGTGGATTGGGGAATGGGATCAAAAATGGGGGGGGGGGGGAATGGAGGAAATGCACTGGACTATGGTGACAGCACACAGTGATTTGGTGATGGGAAGCCCACGGGGATTACAAGTGAGATGGAAAAAGGCACAAAATGATGTAAAAATAAACTATTATTTTTTTAAGTTATTTAAAAAAAAATTAATGACGCCCTAAGCCTCCCTTTCTCCTAAAAGCAGGACTTTTGTCTGACCCTCCTCACTGGTCCCCTGAAAGCAGGAAACAAATCTTTATGGAAAAGCAGCCTCCCTGAACAGTGGTGGTGGGGACTGACTATCTTATCTCCAGCATCAGGGCTGGGAAGCTGTGTAAACAAGCTTGCTAAATTAGTTGTCCCAAACCTCATGGAATTTCTCTGTCCTACCTGTTCTTCTCAGATTTAGTCCTTCCTTGTCTGAAAGCTAAAACAGGCTGTTGCAGTCATTCACTAGGTTCCATAGCTTTGTGTGCACAAATTAGATTTGCCTATTCTCTTCCTAATCTCTCTCCTATCAGTTTATCATGGGACTAGTGAAAGGAGCCAAAGGGGAGTGTGGGAGATCCTCTGAAGATTGTCCATCTGAAGTGGGCCAAGGACCTTTTAACTAAGCCAGATATCTTTGGATTGTGTTGTTTTAAGAAACCATCAAGCAAACAACTGTTTGAGAATCATTCTGGTCAGAGCTGATAAATATAATATGGACTTTTAGCAAGAGGGTAGAATCAGCCAGTTCCCTTTTCAGAAGGATTCCCTTTTTAGAGAATCAGTAACAAGTTCAGTACAGATAGCCAAGAGAAGCTTTTTAACACTAATCAGCCCTTTTTACTTTTTAACCTCTTACCACATCTTCTTTCTTCCCATAAGATCCCCTCTTCTGTCCCTCCTTGGGGGAACATTTTAGGTTTTCTACCTGAAACTGTTCCCTCAATTGTAACTCTCCAACCCCAAAGAAACATGCTTTGTCTTTTTAATATCGACAACTGAAATTCGAGATGCAGTGAGCGTGTCCTTGAATGCTAGGAACAGAAGGGGCTTAAGTTTAAGGAAGTTACAGCGACAGCTGGCCAGACAAACCAGCTGGGACCACAAATCTCCCGAAGGCCAACAGGGTCAAGTCATCCTTGCCCCTCCTCCATCCATGCCTTCCTCCTGTTTCTTTGCTCTCTCTTTGGCATCTGTTTTCCACTTTTTTCTAGAGTAACCATCTGTGCAAGTTAAGGTGCGAGCTGTATATTTTGCAAATGCAGTGCAATTTTTTTCAGGTTACAGGATTGATTCCAGGTGGAGGAAAGGGGATGAGGCTGAACTTGGTCACTATTGATAAGGGCACATGGGAGCGTCCACTTTTTGAGTACACTTGAAGCTTTCTGAACTAAAAAGGCAAATACAGGTTTACACTTCATGGGCTTGGTAAGAAAAGACCTTTTACTATAAGTAAGAAAAATAGGGTGACCAGATGCAGCCAGGAGCTGATATACTAAGAAAAGATTGAAAGGCTTGACACCCTGGAGCAAAGAGTAGTGTTCTCAAAGAGGCACAGGATGGCAAACACTTGTTGCTGCAACTTTTCTACAATGAATGTCTATGTCCTGGGCAAAAAAGCCAGCTGGGCAAGGCTGTGAATCTTGGAGGTGGAGCTGGAGGAGAAAGTCAGAAAAGGAGGTGAATCTCATTCCCTTGGGGAGGTTGAAAACTCCAGGTTACAATGGGAGGAAACTATCTCCCTGGATTGTGTGGGTACCTCTGAAAGCTGAACTGATAAAAACATTGGGGAAATCCCTCCGGAACCAGCTCCGGAAACAACTGGAAAGCTTGTGATGTGGAGAAGCTGCCAATCTTGAGCGGACTAATGACCTTTCTGGCAAGCAGAAGGAAGTCAGTAAATGCTTTGCTTTCAGCAGAGAAACCTGATACTAAGTTTTTAAGTGAGTATACACAAAAGTTGCACAGTAAACTGAGAAAATCAAATCTGAAACTTGTATAACAAAGTGTTACTCTCCTTAATATGCAGAGTTTGAGCCCTCCCTGGTGGCTCAGTCGGTTAAAGCCACTTCAGCATAAGTTCAAGCCCCAGAGACCTCTCCTGACCCGCCCGCTGCTCCCTTCAGCAGCGTACTTTGTCAATATGCCTGTTCTGCTCCCCCCTGTGTCTCTGGTGAATCCTCTCACTGCCCCTGCATCTCTGGCCTGTAACCCAGTTCTGTACACATAAATAAATAAATCTTCAAAAAATATATGCAAAGCTACTACAGATCAATAAACCAGGTACAGGTTTATGTCCCTTGAAATGCTACATGCTTTGATTCAGAAACTATGCTAGTAGCCATTTATCCAATGGGAATGAGGATGGGTGTAGGCAAAGATTCTGTTCCAGAACATCCTTTTAGAGGCAGTAGTCAGAGTGGCTGGACCTTGGCGCTAGAGTCTGGCTGTCAATCCTCTTTAGTATCAGTTTCCTCATCTGTAACACAGAGTGGCAACAAATCAAGTGCATCAAATGTTGTCACATAGTAAATGCTCACTAAATGCAAGACTTAATAAAAACATAATAGAAATATATGAGCACCTAAAAGTCAGAACCAGGGGAAGAACATTCACAGAGATGGAAGGTGTTTCCTAAACACAGGGAAAAGTGTTTGACTTCATTTCCAACAATATGTACTCATTAAGAAGGTTTTATACACAGCAGGTCTAAAGAATTCCTGGGAGGCAGCAGCCCACCACACTAGTGAGGGGCACAGGACCACTGGTGGAAAGTGCTCTGGAGCCCCCTGCTGAAATGACAATCCCTGAGATTTGACAATGGAGGATTTACCAACAGAGACCAGCACCTGCATGAAAAGCAAACATGAGGGGATTCCCCATGGCTTTAACTTTAGTGCAAGAGACTGGCTCAGTTCCGGTAAAGTGGAGTAAGGGACCCATTCACAGCCCTTCATTCCCAAAGACAAATCCCCAGATAATCTGACCCTGCAAGTATTTCGACTTGTAATCTTGCATTTCTAAACATGTGGTCTTCATTCACACCAGTGGGTGTCGATGTTCATCAGTTTATGGGTAGCGGTTACCTTCCGGGACCTCCAAAGCAGCTGGGAGGTGTACTTGTTAGCTGCTGTTTCATAACAACTTACCCCACAAGCTAGCACCAGAAAATGTCACCTGCTTTTTATGTGAGTTTCTGTGAGCAAAGAGTGTGGGATTCGCTTACCTAGGAGGGCTCCTGAGGCTGTCACAGCAGCGATCCCCAGGGGGCTGAGCTGGGCTCAGTGCCAGAGCCCCCGCACCTGCCCTGGCTTCTGACCATCCAGACCAGAGGCATTCTGCCCTCTGCCTTGCCAAGCCAGGTGCTTTCTGCCCCATTTCAAGGCAGTGCCATGCGAGAACCCCATTGTGCTGGCCAGAGCGTAGGAGCCTGCCCTGCTGACATGTCCCCTGCTCCTTTAGGCACCGGCTCGTGGCCTGTGGTCAGAGGCCAGGTCGTGCAGGCCTGAGCTTGGCTCCCCGCCCCACCTTGGAGAGCACCTGCACCTGGTGAAACCTAGGCTAATCTTACCACAGTCTTCCCTTCTGGTGCTGGAACCAGAGCTATTAGGAGAGACCCCATTGAGCCCTGACAAGAGGAGATGGGACACAAATCCATGGGCATGTCAGAGCTTGGTCTTGGAAGTCCCCCATTGCTCTTGTTCACCATCAGTTCGGTGAACCCATCGGGAGGCAAGGCACATGCTGTTGCACCCATGAACCCACGCTCATGACCATCCTGTGCACCATCAGCGGGGTCCACCACTTCACAGAATTATCTGCCATGACCCAAGAGGCGGTGAGACCCTCACCTGCTTGCATGTGGTCCCATTGGGCCTCAAAACTGCCATCCAGTGCAGAGGATACATCAGTGGGTCCCAGCGCCATTTTCAATTCTAAAACAAGATAAACCCACTTGTGGAAAACCCACCATCAAAGGCTTCCATCCAGTCTCCCAGAGAGGTCACATGAGCACAGGAGACAGAGAAAACACCTCAACCCCAAAGTGCCTCACATGACATCTATCCATGCCTATGCCTGGGCAGATGTCGCTAGCTGAGCCCCACACCTCCCCTGAGCCTCGCTGCCAGCCTTGGTGCCATGCACAGTGCTTTAAGCAAGTCACAGTCAACTCAGGATGAAACTCTCTGAGGACAAGCTCTCTGCAGTTAACTGGTTCTGAGTTTTTCCCCAACCAGAGAATAAGCAGTTTGCATTCAAATGATCCCCACCTTTGGGAACTTGATTTTTATTTGACCCCTGGTAGACCAAGGACACAGCCTCGCCCTTACTTCCTGGCTTCCCTCATCTCCAGCTGCTCCTATCTCCTTCTTTGAGTGCTTCAAATACAGGCTCTTCAGGAGCTTCTTACCCCCACACCACCCACAGGGCCCATCTACTCAGTGAGAAACAGGTCAACATGTCAATACCTCAGCTCCTGCCTCATGTTCATGGCTGGTCTCCATCCTCTGCTGTCACTCACGCTCAAGTGACCCTTTGCCCCCAGAAGCATGCCCTCAACCTCCTTCCTTGTTTCCAACCTGGGCATTATCGCCCACTGCTCATACACCCTCCATGGCTCCCTACTGCCTGCCCAGTAAAGTCTGATCTCCTCGGCTTGCTCCAGACCCTGCACGTATGCCCCACTAGTCTCTAGCTTCTCTTTCTTCTGCTTTGGAAGGAAGAAGAAGAAATATTTTGGGAGCTGTTTCCCACCCCCAGAAGTCCTGAGAGGTCTACCCCAAATTTAAGAATTCTTGGGTCCTCAATGCCAGCCCCAAGGGAACAAAAAAGGGAGTGGCTTTTTAGGGTCTGTTCCCATTCTTTAAATTCTGCCTTCCTCCTCTTATCTACATGCCGCAAGCCCTGTTCCAATCCCTCCTCTTTCAAGTAGCTTCTGTCACTGCCCCTCTCAGCTTGCCCACCCAAGACCCCCTCTGATCTTGATCCTGGTCAAAATGCTAATGTTCAGGGGATGCACGAGATGGGGACCCAGGTAGAACTCAGGGTATGCAGCCAGGGGTCACCGCCTTCCTCGAGTCATGGGGAGGTAGGGCCCACCTTGATTGATCCTCTTCAACAGGACCTCACAGACAAGGTCCTCATAGATGCCCTCCGTTGTCAGGGCTGGGCTGCCCACAGCAAGGATGTCCCCCTCAAATGCTGGCAGCTCCTGGAAAGAAGTAGGTGCTGGGCTGGGCCAGAAGGATTGGGAGGTGGGTTTGAGCCCCATTTCCAACCTTAGCTATCTGGTGAGGCTTGGGACTCAGTTTCCCCCTCTTTGAAATGGACTTGTCGGGTCTGAAGGATGTCACTATTGAGGAGAATCACTACACGACTTCCAGTGCCTTGACAAAACCTCAGATGTAGGGCTCTGGCCAAGCACCTGTGATGTCAGGCTGTTGGAACATTCACTGTGTCTCTGAGGCTACAGCTTGCTGTAAGTTTGCAGCAGCGGAATCAAGAAAGAAGACATACACAGATTTCTGTAGAAATTATAATGCCATGAAAGATTTTGAGAAGACGAGGAAGGCTATCATCTTCCAAAGTGCAAAGTGATTTTGGAATGTAAAGAATTTTTCAGGTTGACTTTCATGGAAGTTTGTCACTGGACTGTGTTCCCCTGAACTATGAAACATGAATAACTTCTCTTCATAAACAATTTTTCGAAGTTAATTATAGGGTCTCCTGGTGGCACAAGGGATTAAGTCTCAGCCCTATGAAGCTAGCTGTAGCCACTGCAGCACAAATTCAATCCCTGGCCAGAGAGCTGACCCACATGGTACGGCAGACCTCTCCTGTCTCTCCCACTGCTCGCACCAGCAGTGTACAATCGATCTGCCTGTTCTGCTCCCCACTCTGTTCTGGTGAATCCTCTCACATAGCCCTTCACACCTCTGGCCTGTACCCCAGTTCTTATATGCATAAGTAAATAAAATATTTTTAAAATTTAATTATATTATAACTTAATCTATTTTTAAAACAGACTTTTTGACCCTATAGTGGGATTGATGTAATAGTACACATCACAAAAATTGGGCATGTATCTCCACTGGGACACCCCACCTTAGCTACTTCCTCTAAAAGATCTGGTTAACACCAAAGATAAACTCCCAGGCTCTGTGTGACCAGGCTCCCGTGACCTCCCCTCATCATCTCCCCAGCCCTTCACTCACTAAGCCCAGCACCTACTTGCCTCCTTACTGTCCCTTCAACATACCAGCACAGTTCTAAGTGCTACCACAGGGCCTTTGCACATATTGCCTGGGCCTCTCCCCAGGCATGGCTCATATCTCTATGCGTTGCTTCTCAGGTGTTATCTTCTCAGGGAGAGCTTCCTGATCACCTGGCACCTCCCTTCCCTCCACACTCACATGCACACACACTCATCTGCCTCCCCATCTTCCAACTCCATGTCTTTCATGATATGAGGTACATGGGTCTCTAGCCCTGCTCTCAAATGGCAACACTGGACACTGTCATGGGAGATGCAGCGGGCAGTGGGAGCCCAAAGGAACCCTGGGCTGTCCAGTGTATAGATACTCGGGTGCTCTCTAGGGCTTGTCTGTGGGTCCCCCATGAACTCACCCCTTTGCATCGTGGCTCCAGCTGGCTCAGTGCAAAAGGAAGGAAGATACAGAGCAGCTGCTCGCGGATGAACCTCCTCTGCGCTGCACAGCTGTCTGACTGGAACTTCTGAAGGACACAGCAATGGCTGATCCAGCAACAGTCTGCGCATAGGGACCCATGTCATGCCCACCCCACAGTGCTCACCTTCAGCACACGCCCTCGGACTTTCTCCAGCTGCTGGACAGCCTGGTGGCAGTCCAAGGTTGGGGTTAGACACTGGTCTGCCAACTGCAGGAAGGTAGCCACGGAGTCAGCCATGAGCTATGGGAAGAGGCGCCATGATGAGCCTGGGGATCCATGCCCTGGCCCTGTGAGCCCCCAGCCTGCTCGCCAGCCACTCCCCCCAACCTCCTCCTTGTCTTAAGAAATAGCACCCCCTTCCACCAGGATCTGGGGACCATGCAATCAATAGAGACCTACGTGCAAAATGCAAATGTCCTTTCCCTTCTGCCAGGAAGCCCAGACAGGGGAGTGGAGAGCTGGTAGCTTGCAGCTCTTCAACCCAGTAATATACACACTGTCAGGCAGCACGGGGTCATCTCAGCCCATCGTATTAATGACCAGGTCCCCTGGTCTTCAAAACACACCCCATTTCTCTTCCTTGAACAAACTGGCTCAGGCCTCTCTACCTCTTCCACTTCTGTCCCCCAGGCACAAAGGGTTTCCTAATCCCTGAATCTGCTCACACACCTGACAGGACTCCCCATAGTCTTCAGGACAGGTCCCAGCCTCTGAGCCCCACACTAGAGGTCCTAACTCATCTACTCACCCATAACTGGCACATCACCCACCTTCCCGCCCTCCCTTGAAATCAACAACCCAGTGTCTCTAAATTACTTTATTTTCTACAAATGTTGACAAGTTCTCTCACCTCCCCCGACCCAAAACACACCCACCCCACTCCCGTTCCTCCCCCGCTGCCCCAGTTTGAAAGTCCTCTCCTCTAGAAGCCCTCCTGAAGCTGGACTAGGCCACTCCTTGGGGCACACTGCACCTCCCCACACATGGGACTAGGAGCCCAGCAAGAGGAGTCAAGTGTTCCTGTCCCCCGCCAAGCATTCACGAGGCACCTAATCAGTGGAGTCCCCTGAGCTCCTCCCAGCCTCCCACTCACCCTCACCTGCTGCACTAGATCCTGGAGGCCAAACACCAGGCTCTGCATCCCCAAGAAGCCAAATGGGGCCGTCAGTTGCTCCAGGCACCGCTGGTCTTGCTCAGCTTCCAGATAGCAGGTCTGCATCAGCTCTGGGTCCCACGGCATCTCCCCAAATGAGTAAACCTGTGCCCCAAAGGCAGTTCGATGAGAAAAACACCATCAGCTGTTGGGAAACCCCTCAGAGGGTCAGAGCCCTCAGCGCCTATTGAGTGAAAGAGAAACACCAATAGGAAGAGTTGTCACCAAAAAGTTCACAATAAAACAGTATGTTGGTATAGGCATAAAATGGTAAAACCTGGAAAATGTTTGAAAAAGGCAGTGCTGGAATGACTGGAGGAAATGGGCATTCCTGACCCTTGTCACTCCTTTGCCAGCCTTTGATAGCCTCTCTGTGCTGCCCTGGGCTGCACCAATGGAGTGATCCGATTCAAATTTTATCTTCAGGGAGCTCAGAGAAATGTTGGGGCAGACAGACTACAGGCAAACAGCCAGGTGTTGTGTAAACACTGCTGTGGGGACAGACAGCTGCAGATGCAAGGAGAGACCAGGGAAAGTTATAGAAGAGGTGATTATGACGTGAGGCTTAAAGAGTTGAACGTTCCCTGGCAGGTGTTGGAGCTCATTGAATATCAGAAGAACTGAGCTGGCCTGCATGGAGCAGAATTCTCTGTTTCAGAGGACAGGGTGGCCTATGGCCAAAGAGGGGGACGCAAGGGGCACAGTTTGGTGAAAAGTGACTCTGGACTGATGTTGCTGAAATGCTCCTGTCATCCTATTCCCCTCCCCTCACGCTTTAAACAGTGCCTCAGTGACCAAGGTATGGTCGACCAAAGCAACCTAGAAAGTTTTTCTAAGAAGAAAGAGGCAAATTTCACACACCTGCTCACCACCCACCAGCCCGACGACCCCTGCCCGCCCGCCCGAGGGAGCTCACCTCCTTGCGCAGGCGAGCACCCGAGGGGCTTCTACGCAGGTAGCGAGACAGGCGGTCCATGCCCTGCACCAGGAGGGTGTGCAGAGCCGCGAGTGCGGCTTCGACGGTGCTCAGCAGCTTACGCGTGACCCGGGGCAGCTGGGCATCCACCTTCCTACGCAGACAGGACTCGAGAGGGCCCTGCACCTCGTCTGGGAGTGGAAGACACTGTCTGGATCTCGCAAGCGAGAGGGGAGGGAGCGGGTGGCCCTGGGCCCATCAGGGTGAACTGAACGGAAATGCAGACTCAGAGCACCTTCTTCTATCCCATTTTACTGAATCCTGAGAAAACTGAGGTTTGTGGTGAGGAGGGGACCGGCCCAAATGCGCACGTGGTAGAGGCGGAGTCGGGACTCGACCCCCAGTCTCTGTTGTTCCTGAGTGGAGAGCCACTTCTGAGGTCTGACCCAGAGCCGCCGAGTCCAGCCAGTCACTGCTATACTTGGACCCCTCCCCACTGGGTCTCAGTGGCTCTCCCTGGTCTGACCCCTCCCAGCACTTAACTCTGCGCCTCCACGAACACGAACACGCAAGCGGCACCGCAAGCCACGCACACTCCCTCGTTTAGGCCCGCCCACCATGCCCCGCCCTTTCCTTTCCACAGCTCCGCCTCCTCTAAGATTTCTTGTTCTAGAATCTCGGCCCCACCCTTAAGTCTCTTTTCCTTCCTTCTCTCAGGCTACTGGCTCTGCCCCTGCATGTCCAGGCCCGGCCTGTGCTCCAGCTGGCCTCACCCTGCAGCCTCCTAACCGCACACTCCCGCAGCTGCAGGATTTGGTCCATATCCGTGCGGATAGTCCTCTCCAGGGCCGCGAGCAGATCGTCCTTTTCCGGCTGGAAGGCGCGCAGCCCCGCCGAGGCTCTTGCCAAGACGGCAGCGTGGACAGTGTCCAGGAGCTGCTCAGACCGGCCAAGGGGGCCAAGGGAGACCACACGGGCCAGAGGAGCGGGAGACAGCCAAGATGGGGTGCAGAGGGGGAGGGACAGAGGTGCAGAGAGAAGGTGGACAGTTTAGGGGCAGTCATGAGGAGATATCCATCCAGCCCAGACCCCTAACCCCACAACTGTTCCTGACTCCCTCTGAGACCCCGTAACTATACCTGTGTCCAGGCCCAGGCCCGGGTGCGACAAGCTCCTCGCAAGCCAGGCAGGGTCTGGGCTCTCAGTGTTGCCATCAACTCTCTCATCAGCACCGTGGTCAGCACCTACGGGAGAGGGGGTTGCAGTGTGCCCTGGCCTAGCGGCCAAGATGGGCCTTAGGGGTCCCGGGGATGACTTAGAGAAGCACTGACCTCCGCATCAGAGCCAAGGGTCATGTCATGGTCCCCAAAGTGGCCTTGGTGCTGTCGGTAGATCCGTACAGTGTCCAGGAAGGCCCGTGCAGCAGGGGCTTGGCTTCTCTGCAGGACTGAAGGGCAGCTACTCAGTTCCTGCCCACTATTCCCCTTCTTACGCATATGCCTGGCTCCCCAACACCTGAGGAAGAAGTCCTCTATCTTCCTATTAGGTACCAAAACATTCGACTCTATCACTTTTGCAAAAGCAGTGACTTCCTCAAGGAAAATACCCCAAGACCATCAACATTTGTGCAGTCAACAACCTGCCCAACCGCATGTGTCTGTCCTGTGTCCTTCCTCCTTTTCAGACTTCAGCTTCCATATCCTGTCTGCCTCTCTTATCCCAGGCTAATCTCCCACAGGGCCCCTTGTTTTCCCATCATAGGCCTGGGCACACATAACTACTTGTTATCGCCTCTCAAATCCTTGTCATAGACAAGAATAGTGAATCACCCAGAGGATGCACGGCCAGCAGGGGCTGAGACATTTGACCCCAGGCCCCAAGGCTCACCACTTCTAACCTTTCACGGAACCCACCTGTTCCACGAAGCCGGATGCCCCCCTGTAGTGCGAGCCTCCAAGCATGCTGTGCCTCCCCTGTGGCTGCAGAGAAACAGAGGTGCTGGCGGAAAGGATGATGCAGGAACAGGGGAAAGCTAACAGGCATTTCTAGAAGAGCGTCAGGGTCTTCCGGTGTGTGGCCTCCTGAAAGCAGACAAAGGAGGCTGCTTTTTCAGTCATTCATTCACTCTACAGCAATCAGCCATTCACCAGGAGCAAATCCCCATGAAATGCTTAGAGGAGGTCCTGGTGGTTGCTCAGCAAGCATGAGTCACAGTTATGAGTCACATTGCTCCACCCAGTTCACCCCCAGGTGTGGTGAGGTGGATCAAGGAGGCATGTCTAGGGCAGACACCAGCAAACTGATTGCACAGTCCTTTCCTGGCTTTTTCATCCTCCTAAATTCAGTGCCCTTGGCAATCACTTTCAGTCTGTCTAAACTGACATGTAATCAAACCCATGAGGATGCTGGAGTCAGCCTCAGATTTTAACCCAGCCAAACTATTTTCTATTTCTACACCTAGGACACAGTATTTTCATCTTTGAACCTGGGTTTTCCTATCTGTAAGATAGGCTTAAAAGTGATACTAACCACCTAGACCCTTGAGAGTGACTTTATTTTTGGTGGATGTATTTTAGGTAACCTAAGTCCCCAACATTTTGTTCTGACTTACAAAGTGACACATGCAGAGATTCCCTGGTGGCTCAGGGGTTAAAGACACTCTAGCTACTGCAGCTTAAGTTTGATCCCCTCCACCCACCCTCCAGAGAGTGACCCACATGGCACAGCAGACCTCTCCTGTCTCATCCGCTGCTCCCCTCAGCAGTGTATTTCAGTACATCTGCCTGTTCTGCTCCCCAGTCTGTCTCTGGTGAATCACCCACCCTTCACCTCTAGCCTGTACCCCAGTCCTTGTATGCATAAATAAATAAATTTTACAAAAAAAAAAAACAACAACAAAGTGACACATACAGATTGCTGTAAAGTGTAATAATTTAGGAGGTGAAGTTCCTGTCAGCCCAGATCTTTTTTTTTTTAAAGATTTCTTTATTTATACATATAGAACTGGAGTACAGACCAGAAGTGTGGTGATGATAGGATTCATCAGAGTCAGAGTGGGGAACAGGACAGATCTACTGAAATACACAGCTGAGAGGAGCAGTGGGTGGGGCAGTAGAGGTCTGTTGGGTGTATGGTGGGTATATGGGTCACCTCCTTGGCTGGGATCAAACTCATGCTGCAGTGCCTGCGGCTAGCTTCATAGTGCTGCGTTTTAACCCTCGTGCCTCCAGGGAAGGCCCCTCAGCCCAGATCTTATGTTCATCCCCCAAAGATAATGATAACTGTTAACAGTTTAGGGGGCATTGGTTAGATATTAAATTCTGTGCAAAGCCTATTGGGTACATTTTTTTATGGGTGCATTTTTAAAAATCAAATGTCATTTTTTGCTCTGTAATTGCTCATTTTTGCTTACTCTATGCATCCAGGACACCTTTAGGACTGCAGTTTTCTTTTCTAAGGGTCAGCCACAATTTATTTAATCAATCCCAAAGGATGTATCTGGGTGGATTCTTAATATTGCTAAAAAGCATCACCATTCTGGCCCTCCCTGGTGGCGCAGCGGGTTAAAGCACAGCCCTGAGAAGCTAAAGCCGCTTCCGCATGAGTTCGATTCCCACCTGCCCCGGAGGTGACCACATGGCAAGGCAGACCTCTCCTGACCCGCCCGCTGCTCCCCTCAGCAGTGTACTTCGTCGATCTGCCTGTTCTGCTCCCCACTCTGTCTCTGGTGAAGCCTCTCACCGCCCCTGCGCCTTTGGCCTGTACCCCAGTTCTGTATGCACAAATAAATCTTTAAAAAAAAAAAAAAGCATCACCATTCTGCAGACTGTACTTGTGGCGGTATTTGGCAGTAGGGAGGCTCCACCAAGAAGAGGGTAGAGCAGACTGGGCACCTTACTGGCTGACAGTCCCCAGCATCAGTGTCCTCACTGTAAAATACGAGGTGACCTGCTGGGCATATTCAGTGAAACGATGCAGCCAAGCTTGCTGCTTCTTACCTTATATTTATGCAGTGAGAAGGGGGAGAGAAGGGTAGGAGGGAGAAGCCAAGGGCAGGAGAAAGGGACAGGAGGGAGAGTGAAGAGGGAGGAGGAAAAGATGGAGGGGGGGGGAGGGAAGAGGAAGGAAGAGGAGGAAAAGAACACTGGTAGAGAGTTGGGACGAATGATTCACCCTGCAGCCTGTCTGTGTGATTTTCTGCAAC